TCTTGGACACTGGTGCGTAACTCCAGATTTGGGCCTTGGACCCTGAAAGGGTTAAGCAGGACACAATAGATATCTACCCTCTACCAGGATACACAGCAATCCACAACTGCAGACCATACCAAGTTGGGGGTGGTATTGCAATCTATTACTCTAACCAACTATCCTGTATTAGCACCACTTGTGATGAATATGGGGAATACATTTTTGCTAATTTTACTGTAAAAAACCTTAAGATGCCTATAACAATCGGTGCCATTTACCGGATACCCCACACAAACATCCCAAATTTCAGTGAGAAATTAAAGGCACTAGTAACAAACAGACAAATGAACAAGCACCACCTTCTCTTAGCTGGAGACTTCAATATCAACCTTGGCCTACTAGATGATCAGCCTGTAACTGACTTCATCAACAATATGAACAACACACTTCTCATACCAACAATAACTAAACCAACCAGGCTCACTGAGACAAGTGCAACCATAATAGACCACATATGGACCAATATACTAGCCCCCCTTAAATCAGGGATAATCGCAGACAGCACTACAGACCACTACCCTACCTTCCTCTTAACAAACATTAGTAAACCACCACTGGAATACAACAAAGTTTCATTTAGACTCCATGATGAGGCCTCAATAAGGAAGTTCACAGCAGACCTAGAGACTGTTGACTGGCCTACAGAATTCTCCAAGGCCAATGGTATTGACGATCGGACAGACATTTTTCTTAACAAATTACTTAGACTATACAACAAACATTGTCCTTTAAAAACGAAACAGATCACGAATAAATGGCTCGGTTGCCCATGGCTAACCAGCAGCATTCTGAAATCCATTGATAAGAAACACCAATATGAAAAGCAATATAGACAGGGCTTAATACACAAAGATATTCTTAAACACTATTCATCAGTTCTCATCAAAGTAATAAAGAAAGCCAAACAACTGTACTACTCCAGCAGATTCACTGACACAAGAGAAGATACAAAAAAGACCTGGAAAACACTCTCACAGATTCTGGGCACCCACAAACTGAAAAAAAAACAAGAATATTGTCCACTAAACCTAATGAAACACCGCTGCATCCCACTGAAACAGCTAACAAGATAAACGACTTCTTCTCAACCATAGGATCTAATCTTGCCAGTAAAATCCCACGTACCAACGCCCATGCCGGGGACTATCTAGATGGGAATTTCCCAAATTCCTTCTATCTTGTACCAACTGAGCCCACTGAAGTCACCGAGATTATAAAGTCACTTAAAAATAACTCAGGGAATCTGTCTCATGTCCCACTATTATTGTACAAGCGAGCGGCCCATGTCCTTTCGCATGCTATCTCATTACTTTTTAACAAGTCACTAGAAACTAGCACCTTCCCGAAACTACTCAAGACAGCAAGGGTTACACCAATACATAAAGGTGGTGGCCCTACAGATGTAAACAACTATAGGCCAATATCAAACTTACCATTGCTATCCAAAATCTTCGAGAAACTTGTGCACAGGAGATTGTATTCATTTATAACGGCACAAAACATACTCAACCCCTGCCAATTTGGATTCAGGAAAAATAAAAGCACTAATGATGCAATTGTAAAAATGCTAGATCTGCTTTACACAGCATTGGGAAATAAGGAATATCCGCTAGGAATTTTTATTGACCTAAGAAAAGCTTTTGACACAGTAGACCACGGCACCCTACTCCACAAACTAGACCATTATGGTATAAGAGGCCATGGGCTTGCATATTTCAAATCCTGCCTTACTAATAGGTATCTGTAAGTCACCATTAAAGACACAGCATCATCAACACAGCCACTTGATACTGGAGTTCCGCAGGGAAGTGTCCTTGGACCCCTGCTCTTCCTCATTTACATCAATGATCTTCCAAACGTATCCCAACACCTGAAACCCATTCTCTTTGCTGACGACTCGACTTATGTCATCTCTCACTCTAATCTTGCCACCCTCAACACCAATGTTAACAAGGAGCTGCTCAAAATATCAACTTGGATGACAGCCAATAAACTTACACTTAACACTGACAAAACCTACTATATTATGTTTGGTAGCAGAGCAGGTGCTGCGCAACTTAACATTAAGATTGACAACACTCTAATTGCCAGACATAATGAGGGCAAATTCCTTGGCCTATACCTCGACAACTTGAATTTCAGCACCCATATCCAACACAACAAAAAAAGTATCCAAAACAATTGGGATCCTCTCCAAGATACGATACTACGTGCCGCAAAATGCCCTTCTCACACTATACCATTCACTCATTTATCCATACCTCACCTATGCTATTTGCGCTTGGGGATCAACTGCAGCCACACACCTAAAGCCAATAACAACTCAACAAAAAGCCGCAGTAAGAATAATCACTAAATCCCATCCCTGGCAACACACCCCCCCACTCTTCATAGATCTAAACTTACTCCCTGTTCAGAACATCCACACTTACTACTGTGCAATCTACATATACAGGACCTTAAATTCCAATATTAACCTTGACCTCAAATGCTTTCTTGATAGTTGTGACAGAACCCACAGGCATAACACCAGACACAAACATCTCTACGACATTCCCCGTATCCGACTAAACCTCTACAAAAATTCAATGTATGTCAAAGGCCCTAAAATCTGGAACACCCTACTTGAGAACTCTAGAACTGCAGACACATTCATCACCTTCAAAACTATCGTTAGAAAACATCTTATCTCCCTGATACACCCCGTCAACTAACTACATGTAAACCACCTGGTGGTTCACACTTACACTCACTCACTCACCCATTTGACTATAAGCACAGAAATATGTATTTTAATCTTAAAATAATGATTCCTAACTAGTCATAAGTTTGCCTGTGATACTCCAATATAGAAACTATGTATTGTGCCAAAACAAAAGCATTCACATTGCTAAACTCACAAACCAGTATTTAATCACTTAGTATTTAGTCAACTTACTCCACAATTGTAATAATTTAGGGTTAAGAATTAATCTAAGTTTGCCCGAAATGCCTAGCCATGCTAGGTGTTCTAGTGGCTCCCTCTGTAATTAGTATTTTATTACATGTAAACCACACAATAACCAAAATCTGTAAACCCCGCACTGTAATCCTTATAGAGAATAAACTTTGATTTGATTTGATTTGTATATTTTCAAATACGAATGATGTCATATTGCTGGGGGATTTAACAGAAATGCTGACATCTGTGCTGATATAACAGCTGTTGACATAATAGCTGTGTTGACATAATAACCAAGTTGACATCATAACCGAGCTGCCATAATACCTGTGCTGACATAATAGCTGTGTTGGCAGCTATGTTAGTATAACTGTGCTGACATAATTGTGTTGATGTAACAGATAGGTGTTGACCTAATAGGTGAATTGATATGACAGCTGTATTTGCACAAAGCTGCTGATATAATAGCTGACATAATAGATGTTTCGGATTAACTATGCTGACAGAGCTGTCACAAGACTTCTATTGATATAATAGCTGTGTTGACACTGTTGACTTAATAGCATTGACAGCAGTGCTGATAAAATAGCTGTTGACATAATAGCAGTGTTGACAGCTATGTTGACATAATAGCAGTGTTGACAGCTATGTTGACATAATAGCAGTGTTGACAGCTATGCTGACATAACAGCAATAATGACAGCTATGTTGACATAATAAGTGTTGACAGCTATGCTGACATAATAGCAGTGTTGACAACTATGTTGACATAATAGCAGCATTGACAGCTATGTTGACATAATAGCAGCATTGACAGCTATGTTGACATAATAGCAGCATTGACAGCTATGTTGACATAATAGCAGCATTGACAGCTATGTTGACATAATAGCAGTGTTGACAGCTATGCTGACATAACAGCAATAATGACAGCTATGTTGACATAATAGCAGTGTTGACAGCTATGTTCACATAACTGCAGTGTGATAGCTATGTTGCCATAATAGCAGTGTTGACAGCTATGCTGACATAACAGCAATAATGACAGCTATGTTGACATAATAGCTGTACAGCTTGTTGACATAATAGCAGTGTTGACAGCTATGTTGCCATAATAGCAGTGTTGACAGCTATGTTCACATAACTGCAGTGTGATAGCTATGTTGACAAATATGCTACAGGTGGTGACATAAAGCTGATGTTGCAAGTTATGCTGACATAATAGTTGCAGTATGACAAAGCAGTGTTGACAACTATGTTCACATAACTGCAGTGTGACAGCTATGTTGACAACTATGCTGACATAATAGCAGTGTTGACAACTATGTTCACATAACTGCAGTGTGACAGCTATGTTGACAACTATGCTGACATAATAGCAGTGTTGACACAGTGCTATAGCTGTGACAACTAGCTGACAGGTGTGTTGACAGCTATGTTGACTAATAGCTGACAGTGTGACATATGTGACAACTATGCTGACAGGTGTTGACAGCTATGTTGACATAATAGCAGTGTTGACAGCTATGTTGACATAATAGCAGTGTTGACAACTATGCTGGCAGGTGTGTTGACAGCTATGTTGACATAATAGCAGTGTTGACAGCTATGTTGACAACTATGCTGACAGGTGTTGACAGCTATGTTGACATAATAGCAGTGTTGACAGCTATGTTGACATAATAGCAGTGTTGACTGCTATGTTGACATATTAGCAGTGATGACAGCTATGTTGACATGACAGCCGTGTTGACATAGCTGGGTGTGTGACTGAGGGGTCACCGATCGATGAGTCTGCTGGGTGGTGGTGATGGTGCCGGAAACTGCGTGCTCAATGCCACTTCCGTATCTAAACACCAAGTGATTCATCCCTCAGGCCAGTATACATGCCGGGGGATGCATCTGGTCACTAGTTTATACATTATATACCAAACATTCAGCGACAGAAGGAGTAAGAGGAAATTCAATTAAACAATTGGCCACACGCGTCAAGGCCCACAACAAAGAGTTGAATTACCTGCTTGATGGCTCTGCCAATTTCATGCACTATACGGTCCTTGACGCCTCCCCGCGTAGCTGCCATCACCTACCAGCAGCACCACAACCAGGCGGTGCAGTCACGATAAAGGAAATAATTTTGGGAGGTTAAAAAAACGGGTTTAAAATGCAACACTCCATCGCAGACACCGGCCACCAGCTGACTCCCTCACCACCACCACCACTCTGCTGCCTCACACACTACCACAACCTCGTACTGCTAATATATCTAACTTTTTATTTATGTAATAAATTTAGTTTTTTTTTATTTCAGTAATAAAGTTTTTACTTACCCTTTGCGCATATAACAATTTTTTTAGTTGGTCTTGAAGGCATGCATGGTTTAAGATTCTTTATCTTTAAGATAAAGATTAAGAGTATATCAAATCACTACATTACGAAGTATACAAATATACAAATAAGAAAACCTTTAGGATGTAGACCCCTCATGGAAGGTTCCTTGATGTTGGTGAGGGGCTCTTGATTTAGGGAATTGGATCTGTGCTCCAGTTCCCCGAATTAAGCCTGAATGCCTTCCACATCCCCCCCCCCCAGGCGCTGTATAATCCTCCGGGTTTAGCGCTTCCCCCTTGATTATGATAATAATAATTTAGGATGTAGAGTATTTCGGACAACTTAGTCTAGCTGTAAGAATTACATAGTTTGATTTAATTTTTAAGTCTGCACGTGATATTAAGTATTAGGAAGCATAAATAAACACGAAGGAACCACAATGAAAATAAGATTTTATAAGGTTGGCTTAGGTTATATCTACATAACGTACTTATTTTTTTATCTTCCAGTAACGTGTGTGCCGTCAAGACCATTGAAAAAAAAAAGAGAGAGAGAGAATGTTATGTATTCAAAGCCTAAAGAAAAACTTGTGTAATTTAATCTAAGATAAATCAATAGTCAGCCAATGTGACATCATTTTTCTTAAATTTAGAGGTAGACATAAGTACAGAATAAATGGAAAACCAATAAGCCATTTGTAATTTTTCCACTGAGTCCTAGACTGATTCAATGAGAATTCGGATAGACAATATATATTGTCAGATCAATAGTAGATGGAAATAAATAAATAGCCTTAGTGAATTTTACAGCTTGTGAACATGCGTCTGACAGCGTGAATCAATGTGCATTATGTAGGATATACAATATTGCATATTATTATTAAATCCAAGGGGAAGCGCTAAAACGAGATAAAGCGCCTGGGGGGATGTGGAAGGCTTTCAGCTTAATCGGGAACTGGAGCACAGACCAATTCCAATCATGAGCCTATCAATCAAGGAACCTTCATAGGGTCAAATATTGCAACAAATGACAATTAAATATATATTTTATATACTATTACATTTAATATAATTATTATTGTCATATATGTACATTAATTTTCAAATATTTTATTCATGTCTGTGTTATTATTATTATTATTATTTATTATTATTATTATTGAGTTAAGGTCCTGGCCTGAGCTGAACAATAATTTGTTCTTTAAAATGTCGGACATGTAGAGTATGTGGGCTTGTTTTGTGGAAACGGAATAAATTTTTTTTTTACCTAACTTAAGGAAACCCAAACTAAATTAACCTAACGTAATTTCACTTTACTCCGCCAGCTGAAAATATGGGAATGCGTCTTTGTTTACGTTGCTGTGATTGGTCTGGTGCGTTACACGACTCCATACAAACCATACCACGGGTGGGGTTAGAACCTGCGATCAGTCACTAAACTCCAGACTCGATACTGTTGATTGGTTGTGACATGCCCTTCAAAATAATTTATTCCACAATAACAGTTTTCAGGGTATATTATTATTATTATAATCAAGGGGGAAGCGCTAAACCCGGAGGATTATACAGCGCCCTGGGGGGGGGGATGTGGAAGGCATTCAGGCTTAATTCGGGGAACTGGAGCACAGATCCAATTCCCTAAATCAAGAGCCCCTCACCATCAAGGAACCTTCCTTGAGGGGTTTCAGGGTATAGATAACATGCTTGTATTTTAAATATAATGCGTGTTCTGACCAGGACCTAAAATATATATTGATTATTATTATTTATTGTTGTAGTTATATTAATATCATTAACACATCGGCCGTCTCCCACCCCACATAATGCCAAGGCATAAAAGAGGCTCTCTTTACATTGTAACCCACTATTGTATATACACAATCTCAATGTACTGTTTGCAAAGACATTAAATAAATAAATAAATAAAAATAAATAGGTAGGGCGACCAGAAAAAAACTTCCCGTCATTCATTAAAAACTACTATCTTACCAGAACTGTCCTTGTGGCTTATCGCTTCTTTTTTATTATAATAATAATAATAATTACCAGAACTGTACTGACATCACACACTTCATTATCATGGGGGAGCACTAAACCCGTAGGGATTATACAGCTCTTGTGGGGGGGATGGAAGACATTTACGCTCAGTTCAGGGAACTGTTATTATTATTATTATAATGAAGGGGGAAGCGCGAAACTGGAGCACAGATCCAGTTTCCTAGATCAAGAGTCCCCACCAGCATCAAGGAACATTCCTTGAGGGCAGGGAACTGGAGCACAGATCCAATAACCTAAATCAAAAGCCTCTCGCCAGCATCAAGGAACCTCCCTTGACGGACAGTTCATTCAATTCAAGTTTATTCTCTATAAGGGTTACAATGTGGGGTTTACAGGTTTTGGGTATTGTGTGGTTTACATGTTATAAAATACAGAGGGGGCCACTAGGACACTAGCATGGCTAGGCATTTCGAGCAGACTTAGATTAATTCTTTACATTAAATCCTTACAGATTGTAGTAAGCCTATGAGTGCTACATCATATTTGTGAGTTTATAAGTGAAGTTTTGTTGACAATACATAAGTGTCATATTGAGTAATCTAGCAAATTATGGATAGTTAGGATATTATTTTAGATTAACATTATATTTTGGTTTAGCAATGTGAGTGAGTTGTAATTGTGACACCAGTGGTATCAAGTAGTTATTTGGGGTATCAAGGAGATAATGATGTTTTTGCACTCCATAAGATGTAGCAGTGTACTTTCCCTTGTTAAGTCAAGTCGGGCTAACGAGTTTCCCTGAATCCCTCATAAAGTTATTCATGAAGGGCTGAATCTGTGCGTATTTAGCACAAGGGGTTTGCTGAACTGGTACCAGTCAGTACCTGACAGGGCTGTGGTTCGTATGTCTGGTTTGCAATGCCAACAGTAACACCATGTTGATCAAACCTGGTCATGGACCGCTGTTGGGACGTTGACCTGAACAAGTAAGTGAAGGCTAATTTCTTCAGGTTATTTTATTGCATCAACAGTATGAGGGATGGGATCATGCTGTTAGCGTATTATAATCAAAGAAAGCACTAAACCGACAAGGGTCATACAGCTTATGTTAGTGTAATACTGTAATGTAAGAGTCATGCAGTGTGTGTAGGCATTTTGGTTTAGAGGAATGTCTGTTGAGTTGCCAGTCCATGTCCAACTGTCTTTTCGAGATATGCAGTCATGATTTTGTAGCACTGGTGGCAGGGAAGTACATCATGGGAGGAGATTATTATAATAATCAAAACCAAGCACTAAACCCACAAGGGTCAATCATGGGAGAGAGAAACCTGTAGGCAATCAAATTCAATCCGAGGATAGGTTCAATTCCTACAATGAAGAGCTTCTAACCAGCACTAAGGCACCTACTAAGAAGGGTAGCAAGGAAGTAGTGAGAGACAGGTGAGAGAAGTGAAGAGATATTAGCAGCATTCAAAGAGGTGGTTGTGAGAAGTTAGTTAACTCAAGTGAAGGAGCCTGTAAAAGTAGGATAAACTTTTTTTTCTAGGAAGGATAGGGGTAAAAAAAAAAAAAAAGATGGAGTTTTGTAACGGTCTGATTATATGCCAAACCCTATTTTACTTCAACCAGCACCATGAAGGATGTTCTTTTCATTTGAGGTAGGTTTGGGGATAGCCACCAGGAAATTTGCTGGATAACCGTAGTACCATGTGCGGCATTCTTGTGGTACTGGTTGTAGGTATCCCACCTGCAAACATTGACCTATGTACAATATACTAAATTATTATAATCAAAAAGAAGCGCTAAGCCACAAGGGCTATACAGCTCACAATATACTAAAGGGAAAGTTCATTACCATCTAACTTTTGTTTAGCTATATTAGTCAGGTATTGCCTCCATCTGTAAGAAGGGTGGACCAGAGTTTTAACTTTGGTGATTCGGTTGTGGTGTAATTTAAATCATTTTATGTCCAGATTTTATTATTATAATCAAAAAGAAGCGCTAAGCTACGAGGACTATACAGCGCTGCAGGGCAGGAAGCGAGGGCATCAGGTGGCAAAAGGGAGATGGATGAGTAATAGGTTACGGATGACAGCGGGGTAGTGGATGGTGAAAGGGTAAAGGGCAGCAAGAGACTGAACTAGAAAGGGTTGAGGGGAGTGCGAAAAGTATCATCAGAGTTTGTGGAGTAAATCAGTCGTTGTCAAGAAGTCAATGAGAGAGTCGGGATTAAAGGAGGGTCCATCAGCAAGAAGGGAAGGTAAAGAGAGAGTAGTAGAACGAAGACGACGTTGGAGGTAAATTCTGCGTGCTCGTTGATAGAGGGGGCAGTCTAACAGAATGTGGCTAATCGATACTGGAACTTGACACTGCTCACAGAGAGGAACAGGGTGCCTCTCCATGAGGTACCCATGAGTAAGACGAGTGTGGCCAATGCGAAGGCGGGAGAGAGTGGTCTCCCAACCTCGGCACTGATGACAAGAAGACGGCCAGTAACCTATGCTCGGTTTAATAGAATGAAGTTTGTTACCGAGCAGAGTTGACCAACGTTGCTGCCAACGGGTGCGAAGGTGGGTAGCTATTGCGGCAAAATAGTCCAGAAATGGAACACCTCGATAGGAAATTGGTAGTCATGTACTGCTGACCACGCAGCAGTGTCTGCCTGTTCATTGCCCTGTACGTCGACATGACCAGGGACCCAACAAAAAACAATATCTTTATGTTTGGTAGAGATACGGCGTAGCCAAAGTTGGATACGGAGAACTAGGGGATGAGATGTATCAAATTTTCGTATAGCCTGTAGAGCACTAAGGGAGTCTGAGACTACTACAAATGATGACACAGGCATAGATGTGATACGAATAAGTGCTGCAAGAATGGCATACAGTTCAGCAGTAAAAATGCTAGCTGAAGATAGTAAATGCCCCCACACGACGCTGTCCGGAAACACTGCTGCGAATCCGACGCCGTCTGAAGACTTAGAGCCATCTGTGTACACAGCGGTGGCATGAGAATGGGAGTGGAAGTGATCAAGAAAAAGAGAGCGGGAAGCCACCGTAGGCAGTTGAGCAGTTTGAGTTTTGTTGTATGACTGTATGAGATGATGACAGTAGTGCCTCAGCATGAAATTGAAGGTACAGTCACTGGGGGTCGTGACAATGGTATGGACACAAGAGTTTATCGACTTGCTCAGCATCAGTAACTATGTAATGGTTAATGGTTTCAGAGATATCTCCATGATCCTTACCATGCCTCACATCTCAGAGGGTTTCTGCAAGTGGATGTTTTGGCTGATATGGGTCACAAGTTCTTGTGCAAGCAAATGGTCATTCAGGCATGCTTCACAATTATCTGAAATGAAAAACATCTTGTCCATTGTCATGTTTGGAAGAATTCTATTAGTGGGAGAGGAGAGGTTTCCAGGGTTTTTCCCCTTAACGTGAGACCAGAGTTTGTATGTTGTCACCATCATCGCTTGTTTGTAATTGTCTTTTGGAAGATTACCTGCCACTTTGTCCTTTGGTGCACAGACGACCTGTAAACTGTCACTGCATAATGGATGAAGTTTTCATGGGGAGGGAGCCAGAGGTACCAGAGAAGGTAGGTAGCATGCTGATATTGGGCAGAAAAGTTATTCCAGGTTCTGAGGCCATGGCTGTGCAGAAATCAAAGGGAGTCATAGTCACCTGGGATCCAAGAAAACTAAACACAGTATTTCTCATTTATTCTAAGATAAAAATAAAATGGGAGACAACTCAAAGAAAGAAAAAAAAAAAAAAAAACTGAAAAAAAAAAAAAGTCACCTTTGCTGCAACAGGTATTGTTGTTCACTGGATATCACCTCTTACCCTGCTAATACACCAGGATGTCAATAGAACCGACTAAGGCTGAGGAAAAACTGCCTGTTCAGACACGCAACAACAATGCAATCATCTTTTAGCTAATAGCGAATGTGGGCAAACCTGGAAGAATGCCAGGAGGCACACACACACCTTCAGTTGCCATACTTGGATCCAGTCACTTCACATACCTTAAGATGATCCAATTCCCATCAGGTAGAGACCCAATCACCATAGCATTACCAACAAAATCTAAATTAGGACAGGACTAAGAATGATTACTTTTCATTCTGTTTAGGAGCTGGATTTCAAAAAAAAGGGAAATGTCTCCATCCGTAAAACCAGGAGAGGAAGAGGTGAAAGTATTCACATTTAATCTGTAGAAAGGGAGAAAAGGTTCAATTCCTTGAATTAAGAGCCCTTTTGTTATGGCTAGGAAACCCCCTTTTAAAGGACAGTACCCATAAAAAGTGTTAGCACCAGTGTAGCTGATAAATTTATCTGGCTTTGACAAGCTTCTTCCATACTCTCCTTAATATACCTGGAAAAATTTCTTAGGGAATATTCAAAATCTTTCATAACATTAACAATACTGAAAAGGAAAAAATACAAAGTCATTTGTTGTAGTACTGAATGCTCCTTTATTGAACATTTCACTCACACTGAGTAATGCAAAACCGAAGACACATACACTGAGCAGTCTAACTCCTTCACACACGCACACTTCACGGCTTTGTACATGTGAAACTCACATTAATATAAAATAATAATATTGATAGAGCTAATTACAATAATAAACCTCTCAGGGATCCAACAGACAGGACAATACAAGGGGCAGTACGCTTGGCATCTCACAACCAACCACATAAACGTAGTCACGGCAGCAGCCTCCCAGTAACACAGCATGTCCGTCATATATACCACGCTAATGAAGTGTTCATGTACAATTATAAGGAGTGAGCCTGCCTGGGTATACTATTTACATCACTTATATATTTACTGAAGCGCACATTTGCCGCATCTCGTAGAGGCCTTGCGTCTGGCATGAGCAACACTACACAGGGTAGATACTCATGATGATTGATATTAAGGAGCAGTCCCAGAAGAAAAAAGGGGCTATAAGAAAAATACCCATTATGTCAAACTAAAGAGAATAACCTTAATAGCAATCATCTGCAGCAAACACCCAACATAAAATGCTAGATTCATCTGCACTATTTATTTAAAAAAATGTACAGCCATTTCATAGCAAGGCATCAGAATAAATCTGTGCGACAAGAGAACTATGAACATTCCTAATGAGAATGTGCCCATATGGACACAACATATAAAATATTTAACAATGTTCTAACAAGGAACAGTGAAACAGCATTACTGGAAAGGCTGGGTAAGCTTCCCTTATGTACAAAGAATGTTCATAGCACTGAAGTTTTTTCATATAACCTTTGAAAAACCAAAGCTAAACCAAGTGTCTTGTGAAGATGAAACCGTTAAAAACAAATTTCTCCCTGTGTAATGCTAATGGAAATGTTATTCCCATATGTGAAATAACAATATTGGTTGCATACATAAATAAGACCTATCTCAACTCCAAGGATTTGTGCATAAAAATAAAAATCATCCATTTGGCACAATGGACGAAATCACAATTATACATTACACAGGTGAGGCAAATGCTAGAATCCAAATTCACAAGTTTTACAAAATATTTGAGGATGTCCAGTGCAAAATTCCACAATTTCATATTCATAAGCAAAATAGTTTTTCCTTGCAGTGTCACCATACAAAGAGATCCTTCATTATTAAAACCCAGTACAATGAAAATGAAATTGTGATAGTTCCAGACACGCTGGTGTGGACTCCTAATTATGTACAAGATAAACCACTTGTCCAAACAAGAGATCAAAGAAGTTGCCCACGCATATGAGATTTTTTTATTTAACATGTTTACAGATTTATATATATTATATATATATATATATTTTTTTTTTTTTACAAAACTTAAATTTCCCATACTTAAATATTTCAGACATTTCTTAGCTCTTGGTTTACTGGTAAAAAGAAAATGCTTGTACTCCCAATAAATCTTCTCTCTCCTAGTTTATGAGGAACCTGTGTGTATACAATAAATATGCAGCAACACTTTACAATCCATAAAACTAATAAAAGGACCTTTAAACAGTATTACAATAGGCATTTCCCTATCATAGTTTCATTTATTACCAAATGCAACATTAAACAAAATTATAATGCTAGATGCTGTACTATTAGGCATTGATTTTAACCAATTTTCTAGAAAAATGGCAAATTAATTTTTTATAACTGTACTAATGTGCATAATCTTTTAAATAATTGTATCTAAGCTGAAGCTGTTGTGAGTTATATAAAAGTATAATTTATGGTAAAAAGATAAAAAAATCTAAAGACACGATTTGGTAAAAATAACAAGTTGTGGCATTACTGCTTTCGTGCACGTCTGACTGCTTTCTTCACAACACGTCCACTAGGAGGAGCTGGGGTGTTAAAGGGGTTTTCAGAATTTCTGAAAAGGAATTTTTTTTTTTAGTACAAGAGATTAGGGACTCTTCCAAGCATGATATAATGCATTTCATAATATATACATGGATATACAAGTACTGCATTAAAGTAAAAAAAAATAAGAGGCATAACAAAAGAAAATGTGAAAGCTATACAAAGTATGAGTACAGTACACAAATAACCCACACATAGAAGAGAGGAGCTTATGACGACATTTTGGCCCAACTTGGACCATTTACAAAGTCACACAAACAATAAGGAGAGGAGGAGGGAGTATACATAGGCCAGCAGACAGGGATGAGACAAGAGGTGGCGGCAGCAGCAGCAGCAGTAGTATTCAGTCAAATACTAAGGAAGAGGAGCACTGCAAGGGAGCTAGGGCCCACAGAAAGTAGGAGCAAGAATACAGGAGGGGGGGGGGGGAATAATAGACAAATACCCAAGGCAGCAGAAAGAAAACCCAAAGGAGAAAGAGGAAAGAAGTAAGGGGAAGAGGGAGAAGGGTAAAAAAGAATCAGGTTAGGTCATGGGTGTTCTGAAGCTTGGAGCATTTTACAATGTAATGAGAAAGGAAGGCATCTACAGAGACAAAGCCAGGACTAAGATTCATGTAAGGAAAGTTGTGTATAAGGGAGGATTCAACCAGATGGCGACTGTGAAAGTTAGAAGACCAGTCTTGCTCCTACCCTCTGTGGGCCCTTAGCTCCCTTGCAGTGCTCCTCTTTCTTAGTATTTGACTGACTGATACTACTACAGTGGACCCCCGCATACCGTTGGCCTTACATAATGTTAAATCCGCATACCGATACATTTTATCGCTAAGATTTTGCCTCGCATACCGCTAAAAAACCCGCTCAATGCTGTTCGTCCGAGACACGTCTATGTGAGGCCTGAGCCAGTCTCACATGTTCCGCCGGTGGCATTGTTTACAAGCCAGCCTCCGCGGTAACATCCAAGCATACAATCGTAACATTTCGTATTATTACAGCGTTTTTGGTGATTTTATCTGCAAAATAAGTGACCATGGGCCCCAAGAAAGCTTCTAGTGCCAACCCTGTGGTAAAAAGGGTGAGAAATATATCGAAATACTGTGGTACCATGGTCAACTGCTGCTGCTGCTGTAGCACCGTCAGCTGCTGCTGCTGTACCACCGTCAGCTGCTGCTGCTGCTGCTGTACCACCGTCAGCTGCTGCTGCTGCTGCTGTACCACCGTCAGCTGCTGCTGTTGTAGTACCCTCTGCTGCTGCTGTAGCATTGTCTGCTGCGTGCACTGTCGCTGCTGCTGCTGCTGTAGCACTGTCAGCTAGCTGCGTGTAGCACCTCAGCTGTAGCTGTGTACACCTGTCAGCTGCTGCTGCTGCTGTACCACCGTCAGCTGCTGCTGCTGCTGTACCACCGTCAGCTGCTGCAGTACCGTCTGCTGCTGCTGCTGTAGTACCGTCTGCTGCTGCTGTAGCATCGTCTGCTGCTGCTGTAGCACTGTCAGCTGCTGCTGCTGCTGCTGTAGCACCGTTGTTGGTGTGGCTTATTGAGAATACCAAGAAACAATTAACCCCAGAGGGTTAGCCACCCAGGATAACCCAAAAAAGTGTGTCATTGAAGACTAACTTATTTCCATTGGGGTCCTTAATCTTGTCTCCCAGGATGCAACCCACACCAGTCGACTAACACCCAGGTGAACAGGGAAAAACGCCTGGAACTAGTGCTCATATTGGTGAATTTAAAGCCAGCAAAGGTTGGTTTGAGAGATTTAAGAATTGCTGTTGCTGGATCAGTCAGCTGTTGCTGGATCAGTCAGCTGTTCCTGGATCAGTCAGCTGTTGCTGGATCAGTCAGTTGTTGCTGGACCAGTCAGCTGTTGCTGGATCAGTCAGCTGTTGCTGGACCAGTCAGCTGTTGCTGGACCAGTCAGCTGTTGCTGGACCAGTCAGCTGCTGCTGCACCACGGTCAGCTGCTGTTGCACCATCAGCTGTCTCTGAACATGACTCGTCCCGAACCTGTCCGTCCAGCCTGAGCGCCTGCCTTGCCGTCATTGTTTACAAGCCAGGGTGGCCGGTTGCATGCATACATTCGATACATTTTGTATTATTCCATTATTTATAGTGCTTGTAACTGCTAAATAAACCACCATGGGCCCAAAGAAAGCTTCTAGTGCCAACCCTGTGGTAAAAAGGGTGATAAATACTATCGTACCACAGTCAGCTGCTGCTGCTGCTGCACCACAGCTGCAGCTGCACCATGGTCAGCTGTTGCTGCACCCAGCGCTGCTGCACCAGTCACTGACAGCTCTGTTTGCTGCACCACCATCAGCTGTATTACTCAAAGATGTGGAGAGAGTGTTGTTGGTGTGGCTTAACGTGAAACAATTACCGAGAAACAATTAACCCCGGAGGGTTAGCCACCCAGGATAACCCAAGGAAGTCAGTGCATCATCGAGGACTCTAACTTATTTCCATTGGGGTCCTTAATCTTGTCTCCCAGGATGCAACCCACACCAGTCGACTAACACCCAGATGAACAGGGAAAAATGCCTGGAACTAGTGCTCATATTGGTGAATTTAAAGCCAGCAAAGGTTGGTTTGAGAGATTTAAGAATCGTAATGACATACACAGTGTGATAAGGCCTGTTCTGGAAGAAAATGGCAAACAGGACCTACAGTACTCAGGAGGAAAAGGCACTCCCAGGACACAGTGTCTCATCAGTCATTGCTGCATCTTCAATAAAGGTGTCATTTATTCTTCATTTAGTAGAGTAGTACATGCACAATATATACTGTGCATGTACTATTCTACTATTGTGCATGTATCCTTCTCTTTGTGTGTAGGAAAATGTATATTTCATGTGGTAAAATTTTTTTTTTCATACTTTTGGGTGTCTTGCATGGATTAATTTGATTTCCATTATTTCTTATGGGGAAAATTCATTCGCATAACAATGAGCTCTCATGAACGGATTAATATCGTTATGCGGGGGTCCACTGTACTACTACTACCGCCGCCACCACCTCAACCTCTCTTGTCCCGTCCCTGTCTACTGGCCTATATATACTCCCTCCTCTCCTCTTTGTTAGCTCCTCTCTTCTATGTGCAGGTTGTTTGTGAACTGTTCCAGTCACGGTATTGTGTCTTTTTTTGTTATTTTTGAGTACGGGATTGTTCCACTTATTCCATGTAATTTTTTATTCACAGGCATAAGCTGATAAAATCATATAAGGTCTGGAACCCTAGAAAAAAAACTTGTGGCACAGCAATAAGTACGAGTACAGCTTCTCCTCACTTAACGATAGAGTTCCATTCCTAAGACTGAGTTGTTAAACAAATTTGTTGCTAAGTGATATTTTTTAATGTCACCTTTGCACAATTTATAACATTTCTGGTATATTTTTAAATGTTTATACAGTAGTGTGCTGTATATCGAAATAAACAAAATAAGAGGAAATCAGCTCTAATATACATTGTTTAGGTATGAATGCTGGTCAAAGAGCCCATTGTAAGTCCGAGGCGTCGGTAAATAAGTACATCGCGAAGTGAGAAGGCTGTACTGCAAATAATGATACAAGATGAAAAATTCAGTTCAAACATACAAGTACAATTAAGAGAAGTACCCTCAGTCTATGTTGCAATACAGCCACTCCTCACTTAGCGACGTACTTGTTTACTGACGCCTTGGACTTACGACAGGCTCTCTGACCAGTATTCATGCCTAAATAATGTATATTAGACCTGATTTACTCTATTCTGTTTATTTCAATATACAATACACTACTGTATAAACATTTAAAAATATATCAGAAATGTTACAAATGGTGCAAAGGTGACACTTTACCCTTTGACTGTTTCGGTCGTATATATAATATATATCGGCTTCAAATCAAGCAGGAGAAAGCTGGTAGGCCCACATGCGAGAGAATGGGTCTGTGTGGTCATTGTGCACCACATAAAAAAAAAATCCTGCAGCACACAGTGCATGAGAAAAGAAAAAACTGACCATTTCTTTGGATTAAAATGCCGACTTTGAGGTGTATTTTCATATACACCTACCATCCGACTTACGACCGTGTTTTTTATGCCAAATTTCTGGGAAATAAACAACTATTTGTGTTGTACACAGTGTTTATCCTAAACCTTACAGTATAAAATACAGTACTAACATAAAAAGTAAAGTAAAACATGAAATATCAAAATAAAACAATAAAATAAAGTCATTACAAAAATGTTTTGTTGATATTCAGTAGTAAAGTTCGACTTACGACCGGTTTCTCAGAACCGAACTCGGTCGTAAGTCGGATGGTAGGTGTAGTAGTATTTATCGTTGTATTCTCGTTTTCATGGTCTTACATGATAAAATGGAAAACATATTACAGAAATAGAGATGATTTTCATTATTTTCTCTATGAAAACGACCTTGAAATTGAGCTCAAAGTAGCGGAAATGTTCGATTTTTACCAACGTCCAAGAGTAAGCAAATCACACGTCCAATACACGTCAACTGGGGAGTCTAATATTCTTTCACTAGTGCACTGATATTATTTATACCATTTTTTACAATAATGCATTAGTCTGCATAACAGTAAATTTTGTATTTTTTGTATTAACCCTTTGACTGTCGCGGCCGTATATATACGTTTTACGAGGTGCCGTGTTTGACGTATATATACTCATAAATTCTAGCGGCTTCAAATTAAGCAGGAGAAAGCTGGTAGGCCCACATGTGAGAGAATGGGTCTGTGTGGTCAGTGTGCACCATATAAAAAAAATCCTGGAGCACGCAGTGCATAATGAGAAAAAAAAAACTCCGACCGTTTTTTTTAATTAAAATGCCGACTTTGTGGTCTATTTTCGTATAGTATTTATGGTTGTATTCTCGTTTTCCTGGTCTCATTTGATAGAATGGAAAACATATTACAGAAATAGAGGTGTTTTTGATTGATTTTACTATAAAAAGAACCTAGAAATGGAGCTCAAAGTAGGGGAAATGTTTGATTTTTGCCAATGTTCAAAAGTAAACAAATGATGCCATTGTCCAATAAATGTCCAACTAGCCATTCTAATATGCAGTCATGAATGGGTTGATATTATTTATACAGTTATTACAGCATTGCAGTAGTCTGCATAATAGTAAGTCTAATATTTTTTGTTTGAATAAAAATTCAAAATAGAAAGCAAGAGTAATATCAGAGGGGCCTGGAGACGTGACTGATGAACAAAGAAAACGTTATTTTAGAGCCTGGAATGTCTGCATTGTTCATTCTGGACCTTATTTTGAAATTGTCATATTTTTTAGTTTTCGTGAAATTGGCCAAATTGCAAATTTCTGACCACATTATTAGGTAGTTGAAATCAGTAAATGGGCAGTTTCTTGTACTCAATCGATAGAAAAAATGAAGTTCTAAAGAAATAGCTATGAGTTTGGGCGACTGGAACAATGGAATTAGCCGAAAATAGGGCTCAAAGTGGGCGAAGTCGCCGATTTGTAAACAGCGCCGAGGTCGCTAACTTTGCGAGAGCATAATTCCGTCAGTTTTCCATCAAATTTCGTTTTTTTGGTGTTATTACAATCGGGAAAAGATTATCTATTATTTCATAAGAAAAAATAATTTTTTTTTTTTAAATTTTGCGACACCAGGAGACACCTCAGGATTGGGGGTTGCGACAGTCAAAGGGTTAATAAAAAATCAAAATAGAAAGCAATAGTAATATAAGAGGGGCCAAGAGATGTGTAATGAACAGAGGATATGCTATTTTAGTGCCATGAATGTCTACACTGTTTATTCTGGACCCTACTTTGAAATTGGCATCTTTTTTATTTTGCACAAAATTGGCCAAACTGCTAATTTCTGACCACTTTATTGGGTAGTTCAAATCGGTAAATGGGCGGTTTCTTGTACTCAACTGATAGAAAAAATGGAGTTCTAAAGAAATAGCTATGAGTTTGGTCAACTGGAACAATGGAACTGGTCAAAAACAGGGCTCAAAGTCAGCGAAATCGCCAATGCATATGTCGTGAGACCGCTAACTTTGTGGGAGCGTACTTCCCTGAGTTTTCGACCAAATTTCGTACTTTTGGTGTCATTACCATCAGGAAGATTCTCTATCATTTCATAAAAAAAAAATTTCCCAAAAATTTTGCGAACACAGAATGAGTTTCAGAAAGGAGCTTGTGACAGTCAAAGGGTTAAACAATATCAAAGATGGTTGACAAAAACTCACTACAATTATAGTATGCTCCTCACTTAGCGACAAATTCATTTAATGATGTGGTCTTAGGAACGGAACTCTGGCGTTAAGTGAGGAGAGGCTGTATACCGTAGTGTGCAAATTAATTGGGAAGGAGCAAATTTTGTGGTTATCTAATATGTTTTAGTTTCCAGCTTAATTAACTTAGTTTGAGTTCTTTTCTTTTCAGAAGAGTTTGCTACTGACTTCTGTCAGCCATCCAACTGTGGCATTACCCTACGACTCTCATCAGTGCTACAACAAGTATTGTTCTTTACGGCTATTCCTGCCAGTGTACTCTGTGAGTGAATGTGGTTTCACCAAATTCTCCCCTTCAATTCATGATTACTGCTGAAATTCATGATGGATGTTACACCTAGGAAGCATGCAAGTATTGTAGCTCCTAGAAAACATGCCAATTTAAGTATCAGACAGATTGCAGAAAATTTGAGCCTAGTAAAGTCAACCGTTGGTAAGATTCTAGAGAGAGCTGATGACACTGGTGATTGTGAAGTGCTGCATTGATGATGTGAAAGACAACGCAAGACAACACCTCACAATGAAAAGGTTATCATAATATAAATAGTGTGAAGGATCTCAAGATAACCAGCAAAGATCTACAGAGGTATTTGGCTTAAGTTGGTGTAAATGCTGATTCTTTAACCATTCAACGAAGGCTCCTTGAAGATGGTAGAACTGCCAGAAAGCCGGTAAAGAAATAATTATTGACTGCTGCTATGAAGAAAAACAGCTGCAGTAGGTACTTGATCATAAGGGATGGGCAACAGATGAATGGGTATAGATAAGTGGTAGTGAGATGGAGTAAAGGCAAACCTCTTGGGAATGGACACATTCGGCAAGTGTCAAAACACCCACCTAAGATGTTTTGGGGTAATTTTACTGCTAAAGGCTCTGGTTGGCTTCTTACTGTTGAGGGAACAATGAATGGTGACAAATACAAGGCAATTCTGGCAACTCATTTGCTTCCCATTGTTGACAAACTTTCCTGATAGAGAAGGTATTTTCCAGCAGGATCTTGCTCCATGCCACACTTCCAGAAAAATGCTGACATTCTTTGAAAATAAACTGGCCTGGAAACTCTCCTGACCTCAACCCAACTGAGAATCTATGGGCAATAACCAATCTATGGGCAATAACCAAACACAGGATTGTGAAACAAGACTGTTCAACTGTGGAGAAGCTAACTGCTGCTCTTATTAAGACCAGGTACCATGACAAAGAACTTGCCAAAGTGTGTTCAACATTGGTCGATTCTATGCCAAAGCGCATATCGATGCTTACAAAAGCAAAGGATAGTCATATCTCTTATTAAATCAATTATCTGACATATCACTGCCATGTATTTTTTAAATAAACATTAATTTTCTGAATAAATGTCTTATTTCATCAGTGTCCCAATTAATATGCACACTAATGTAGATTTAAAAAAAAGTCTTGAAGTATTTGCCCTCCCCACTACTCTCAGCACAGCTGAGAGCTTGCTACTGTATAAAGAATGAATGCATGATTACCTATTTTCACTGTGGTTACAGAAGCTGAGAAATGCTCACAGTATCTCATTTTTAGCATTTGACTACACATACAACTAATCTTCAAAGGCTGATTTTAAAGTTCAAATTTTAATGTTACTCTCAACACCTCAATCACAATTGAGGTGTTGTGACATTAAAATTTAAACTTTTCCTATTAGCTAATGAAGCCAGTTTAGTATTTTCTGTCATTCTTAACATGAACTATTTAGCACTAGGAGGCACTGGATTTTTTTTTTTTGGGTGGGTGGGCATTTTTTTTTATAACATGCCTGTGACCCACCTTGCCCAGAGCTCTGACTTTCAAATCTTCTAAATGTATGACCACAAGTCATTTGAATGGTACTGTGCCAGCACGGGTATGACTTCCGAGTTCTAACAACTCTAACCCATAATTTCCTGGGCCTTAATATTTGTCTTATTGTGCAATCTTATAAATGGCAGATCGTCCAAACATCATTATTCCTTTATCTTTTATACGTTCGATTTACTTCATAAAATGGTCCCGTGCTATTTTTTTTTTTTTGTGTACTGTAGTTAAGTGGCTTCATCAGCTAAATCTTGTTGCTTTCTTGCACCCAATGAAAGACTAATCTACTGGTAATTTTTATTTCCTCTGAGGCTACTCTCATGCTTACATTGGTATAGTGTGCAAACAATGGGACGAAACTGTTTTGTGTTTCTATCGATCTACTATGAGGTACTGAACTAATTACCTTAATAGAACTGGATTTTTTGTTTACTACCACCTTGTGATATAGGATTTTTTGCCGAGTGCTAATCTTCATAATTAAAAAAAAAAAAACTGTATATCTTCCTCTATTTCTCGTTATACTTATTGATACTACAGATGAGGGTTTTAAAAGAAACGGAAGTCAGTACTGGAGAGAGGTGTGCACTTTAGATAATGAACTTGATATGTAGAAAAAGTTGTCATAATTGCCCCTTTACTGATGACACCATACCTTTAGGAGTGAGGAGAAATGGGGTGAAAATGCAAAGGTTGGTAAAGGTGTTTGGAAGTGGGTACAAATAAGGAAATCAAATGCAAGGTGATGAGAAAAGTAGAATAGGATAATACAGAGAGTATAAATCAAAGGTAAACAGAAATAGTAGGTCTCAGGAATGAATGGAGGGTAGGGTAAAGATTTTAAGCAGAGGGTTTTGCATTTCAATGTATGGCTGGAGTGGTGATGGGAAGCACAGTGGGCGATATTGTTCAGACAATCCTTTGAATTATGATGTCCACCCATAATACTGTAAATACACAACCTAATCATCATTTGAAAACTATACTACAAATATTAAAAGTCAGGTCATACACTGCCTGGGAATTGGGAGGTAATCAGATATGATCCATTGAAAGGGAGGGTAGCTCCAAATCCTTGGATCAACAGCCCTTTACCATCATTAACGAAGAAAATTTTTGTCAACCCCTACTCTTTGCAACTCACGACAGAAATCCTTCGTTTTAGATTAGACTTAGCTCTGAAGGATCCTGCATTTAAAACATAAAACATACTAACCCAAATGTGGATGCTGGAGAAGAGACTTCTGAGTTAGTACCAAACGTGAATAATCCACTTGGAGTGTTATTGGGTTGACTCTGCAAAAGAAATTCCCAGATGGCTGAAGTATAACAGAAATTAATCAGGACTAAACTTGCTGTAAATACAAATACAGTATCTGTATCAATAATTATCAAACAAAAAAATATACCCAATACAGGAACTTAAACCAACTTTCAAAGCACTCACTGCCCCTGTTATAATATCAATTCTATAGTAATTTTTGAGAGGTAGAGGAATGCTATTTCCTTGCAGACTCTGACTTCGATTTGACCAGTGTCATAGCCATATAATTATTGTCTTTTCTGTTTAACAAGACATTATAGGCCCCTCATGCATTGCTCATACAAAGCCAGAGCTGACAGCTCTCTCTCTACATCTGAAAATGGCCTCCCACATTTTATTTAAACAGATGTTAATTTAATTTTCTGGGTTATTACTTTTTTAAATTCATTCATCTTTAGTACAGGTGCAGTCAGTTCCTAAATATTTGGTGCAATCTGAAAAGAAATATAGTTTTTATTTTTACAATGTCGGCATATTGAGGTTAATCTAGCTGATGCTGCTTTCCACATTTTTTGTATATTTTTTCTTAGCTTTAGTTTTATCAAATGCTTTTACATTTGGTATGTGCATGGAGAGTTCCTGCAAGCTTGGTACAATTTTTTAAGAAAATGTGGCTTTTATTTTGTTATTTATAAGGTGTGTATGAGAGTATCAGCTGATAACCCTCACTACATTCAACTCAGCCCAGCCCCAACACTAAGTAATGAGTAACAATGTTAAACCACAGTAATTTTTTATGTAGTAGAACAGCACAAAAAAAAAAATTGATGCCTAAACATGTTCTTCACTTCACATAATGCTACTTTTCATAAGGTGTCAATTTTCATATCTCAGTGCCTGTACTCTAAAGAAAGGGTTTGGGATGTTTGCTGTTTGGAGGGACATCTAATGTGTCATATATGCGTGCCTCTGGCAAGACAATGATGGCATGCATGAACGATGGAAAAAGTGTTTCTTTTTCTGGCCACCCTGCCTAGGTGGGAGATGGCCAGCATGTTATAAAAAAAAAAAAAAAAAAAAAGTCTCAAGACATTATGAGGTAGCTTAATGCATACTAGAAAAGTGCACAACTAAGTAACATCTTGTATCTTTGTCTCTATTTAATAATTCCCCAAAACTAAGATCATTAAATTAGTTTGATATAATAAGTCATATTTTTGTAATTGATCATTTGTTCATTCGCTACCTTTCTTATTGTACATATGATCATAGTTAACTGTATAAGAAATTCTACTTAACAGTCTATATCTTAAGTAACATTTAAGCATTATGAATAGTTAGCCCAAAATGCACTGCATAATTAGTGGCATTCTTTTGTGCCTATCAGTGTTTTATTACATGTAAACTACATTATATTTACCACAAAGAAAAAAAATTGTATTATATTGTAGAGGCAAAAATCAAAGAGACTAAGAAAAATACCACATGGTGTATGTATGAATGTTGACTGCTTGTCTCAATTCTCCAAATGTCTTGGAACACAATTTCAACCCGAGTAAATATGTAAATGCAAACAATTTCACTCTTCAACACTACTTACAAGTTTAGCATTGGTTTCTTGGAGATAATAATAATTTTTTTTCAATACGTCGGCAAATGAAGGCACCTCCAGGACTCAAGTCCGGCTAACTGGTTTCCCTGAATCCCTTCACGAAATATTACCCTGCTCACAATCCAACTGGTCCCAAAAACCATTTGTCTCTATTCACTCCTATCTAACACACACACACATGCCTGCTGTATGTGCAAGCCCCTTGCATATGGAACCTCTTTACCCCCTTCCTCCATCTATTCCTAGGATGACCCCCTACCCCTCCTCCCCTCCACTACAGATTTATGCCACTACATCTGTTCAACTTTTACTTGTTATTACTATGGTTAGTAATATTGTGAAGTGGAGAGGTGAAAAAGTAACTTGTGGCCTACTGCCAGTGATTTCCTCTAGCAATTTCTCTCCTTTGCAGATAAAGTACTGTGCTTAAGTCATAAATATGATACATAATGCACTGTAGTAACAGCTGCTAATAAAGGCATGAGACTGATTTCAAAGAAGTGAGTGTTGGATTGGCAATATTCTCATTTGAACGCTGTTGACTTGGCCCCACACAAAAATGTGCTAACTAGCAATTTCCCTTTCCAACACAAAATTTTTTTTTTGTGAATATAGTATAAAGTACAATTAATATAACGATACAAAATATTTGAACTCTCTCCAACTTTCATTTATGATTGAAGCCAATAGTCATTTAATCGTGGAAAGGGAAGGGAAGGGGAGGTCACACACCACAGACCTCAGCTGCATGTACACTTCAACAATAAAATACATTTATCTTTGATACACGAGATGGTATTGCCTGCAATCAGGAGATGGGACGTATGAAAAATCTAACTCGTCAATATATGAAGCATCAGGAGGAGAAAGGATCAACGATTAGGTGTGTAAAAATCACATCTCCACTTCTGGTGAAGAGGACAGGTATTGGGGAAGAAAATGGTCTTTATTGTGGAGACCATTCACCACCATCCAATCAAAATTCAGTATGACAGCTGAGTAAACTGAGATTCCAAGACATAAAGGAATACAAGTTCAAGGGTTTAAGACAATACATGTATTTCATAATTAAGACAAAAGAATAATTGACAACGAAAGTGTCTCCCTTTTTGGGTCACCGTACCTTGGTGGGAGACGGCTGATGTATTTTTTAACACGTCGGTCGTCTCCCACTGAGGCAGGATGACCCAAAAAAAGAAACTTTCACCATCACACAACACACACACACACCATGGTGGTCAGTGTGTGGGGGCAACAAGGCTCCCAGAATTTTAGTGTTTTTAGGGCATGTTTTAGCTTTTAGCAGAAGCCAGTGATAGTGACTGGGTCAGTGAACAACCCAACAAGTGACAATGATGTCTTAAAACTGAAATAGGCAAGAGGAAGACTGAAATTTCAGGAAATCTGAAAGTGCCAAAGCCTGTTAGAGGCCTAGCAGGCACCTGCTGCCACAGAGCTACAACAGTCAACTTACAAGGATAAGTAAACCCAAAGTCAGAAAGTCAAGTGTAAGTCAAGTTGGTTAGTGAGTGAACTGTGAGGTAACATATAGCAAGTGCAAAAAGATAAACAAACAAAAGGAAGAAAGTGAAAACAAAATAATAAGTGTCAGTGAAGGTTGGCATATCAGTAGGCCTCCAGGAAGTGGTACTGCCATAGTCAGGCTGTGTGTCATAAATAAGGAAAAAAGTGAAATTACCAACAGAATACAGTAGGATCCCACTTATATGGCAGGTTAGGTTCTAGGCTACCGCCGTAAAGCGGAAATTGCCGTAAAGTGGAACACCCTTTTCCCCCCCTTATAAATGCATACAAATACTAGATAAATTTACACTAACATATATTAGTTAGCAATAGAACTAGGCATAAAAAAAACAATAAAAAAGTACAATACACATATAGTGCACTCATTACTTACCTTAAAATATTTATAGTCTTAATCTAGGGTGAGATGAGTAGCATTCATTGTAATAAATCAAACGTGGTATGTATAGTAGTCAGCCGGGCTACCATACCAGGCCACCCCACTTACACATAATATTCTATAATATTTAAGCATCCTAGAGCAATAAAATTCATATACAGTTTACTCATTACTTACCTTAAAATATTTGTAGTCTTAATCTAGGGTGAGATGAGTAGTATTTATTGTAAGAAATCAAGTGTGGTATGTATGGTAGTCAGCCGGGCTACCATACCAGGCCACCCCACCTACACATGATATTCTATTACATTTAAGCATCCCAGAGTGATGAAATGCATATACAGTTCACTCATTACTTACCTTAAAATATTTGTAGTCTTAATGTAGGGTCAGGAGTGAGTAAACGAGATAAAATGAATGAGAGAGAGAATGAGTACATGAGAGAGGACAGGTGCAGAATTATGTAAACAAACCAGGTGAATGCAAGTTGTGTAAACAAATTGTACACATTTGGTTTGTGTACAAGTTACATTGTGTACAAGTTGTCTCTACATTGATATGGTAGAATAAATAAAGAACACCACTCCCATTCTCATGTAACACCATTTTTAGAAGAAATGACACTCTGAGTGAAGGCAATGGAAATAAGTCACTCTGACTTTTTTGGGTTATCCTAGGTTCTCTACACATATGCTGTTATGTATGATAATGTATGTAACTGTATTTGTGTATACCTGAATAAACTTACATGCCTCGGTGGGAGACGGCCAACTTGTGAAAAAAAAAAAAAAAAAAAAAAAACATACGAAAGGAATAATTTTCTACAGTTACCCCCAGTAACACATTTTCTCTTATGTTAGATTAGAGAAAATGTTATTCTTGCCGTCACTTGTACAAGTTATCTGGCAACAACATCTCAAATTTATGTTTATTTATTCTATTGTGGAGTGTATTTATCATCTATTATATGTTATGTATCATGTTTATTATATAATTTTGAAAAAATATCATGGATGGATTAATGAAAATATGTATGTATATTAACGTAATATACGACATTTAATGAGACTCCATGATTATCATCATTACTAATATGACGTCTCGAGACATAAGACACTTACTGATTTTAATGTGTACCTGCATGCCAGCACAATATGTAAGTTTATTTAGGTACAGGTATACATAAGTATAATCATCAGAGTATATATAAAATAACTTTTAAAAACACTTGAAATTTTGTTGTTTCCAGACATAATGGAGAGACTTAGTGCTTGGATCTCACAGAGAATGTAAACAAACCGGGTGGGGCGCGGTGACCGTATTAGAAAGTCAGGTGGGGGAGCCGTATAGCAAGTTTTGGTCATAATTTGAAATGACCGTATTAGCGGAATGCCATAAAGCGAAACGCCGTAAAGCAGGGCCCTACTGTAAACACTTGAGGGGCGTGTGGAGAATACAGTAGTACCCTGACTTACGACTTTAATTTGTTCCATGAC